TCAACAATTATTATGAAGGTCGTCAACTTTGTCTACGGTAATTTTTCAAAGTATTTCCAAGAATCGTCGATATGCTATTATAATGAGTTCATAAAAGCATTGAAAGGTATCTCTAATGTTGTGAATGTCTGATATTTGTGTTTCAAAACTAGTCATGCATTTTTCATTTTATGACTATACGTGACTAAAATTTGGTGATTAATAAAACTATTTGCATTCTAATATCTATGGCTACAGATGTTTAACGAAGAATATATAGAGTAAAACTTCCACAAATATATTATCAAAATTAAAAAAGAACTTATTCAAAGATCTTCAAGTTTTTTTTTTTATACTCTTAGCTTGCATATTAAAAATTGAAAAATTTTCTAATCTGTTTCTATAATTAAAATAATCATTCATTTATTAGAACTATGAAAACGATGAACAAATTAATAAACTACATTGTCTACTGAGAAAGATAAATAAATAATAAATTATCACATATCATTTTTGATATAAATCAAACAATCATTTTGATCTTAATAGACATCCTCTGCATAGATCTGTGTATTCTTTCGAACGAGAATATTTCTCTAAATGTTCTATTCCTTATAGATTTTTTTGAACAAAACAAAAATTCATTTATGATTCTGTTTTTTATGAAGTCCATGTTTTTTCTTAAGTATTTCTTGAAGATTGAAATGATTACAGGATAGTAAACGTTGTCGAATGTCAAGAGTACGCTCCAAAGAAATAAATATGCGAGTGCTTTTGAATAGTTGCACTTATTGTAGTATATCAAACCAATTCGATCTTTATGGTACACCAATATTATGGTAGAAAGTAGCTAATAAAAAATAATTTGAGACAAAGACTTTATTTCAGAATGCTCTGAGCTTTTTTCATAAGACAAAAATGCCTTCGAGTATTGATTCATTTTAGAATCATGCAGAACAGCAATGTGGAAGGCAATCAAATCTAGATAGTTTGAAAGAGGAAATTTTCTCAGAACTTTAATAACATGCTAGAAAACAAAAAGTGCTTTCGAATAATTGTCTATGTTAAACTACATCAAACCTTTACTGTTATTATATGTAGAGATCAAAATTGAAACTTGATTTCAATAATTCGGATATTTTATCGTTTAGGATGCTATAGAAACACTAGCTAGATAAACGTTAAACTACGAATAGTTGATTTTTTTCGTTGCTAAATATTGCGTATAAAATAAATATTAAGCATTTAGATATTTTCAAGAAACCATGTGTATTGTAATATTTAAAATTCATATAACCGCAATATGACAAAAGAAAACTAACAGATACAATTCGCTACATGATTTAGGAATAATCATAAAAGAAAACAAATTCTTTTGTAAACGCGTTATAATTATTGAATAGAAAAAACACTTCTAAAAAGAATTCAAAATTTTGTATTTATCATTTAATATTGACTAAAATATTTTTGACACATTAATGACAATTTGATTATTTTAAAGCACAACTACTTCGAACAAAAATAATATTAAACTCTTTTTGTAGATCAATAAATTATTTTTTGATGAGTATTTCTTTAGTTGACTAGTTTATTTGAATCATGAATGACAAACAAAAGACAAATGTTGATGAATCAACATATTTGTTTAAATTTTTCCTTCTAAACAAGAAAAAAAATCTGTAGAGGATTGAGCGAGTTCATTACGTCCTATTTTGTTGCGCAAATAAAGAACTGAAAAATAATCAATAATTTTATTCATGTTAAAATTGTTATCTCTTCCTTATTTTAATATTTGTTAAGCATGTTAGATAAATTACAATAATTATTTACAAATTATCAAAGATATAAAATATAATATACAATTATAAAATGTACAAATAACAAGAAAATATTAACATG